CTCCTCCTCCTCCTCCTCCTCCTCCTCCTCCTCCTCCTCCTACTCCTCCTACTCCTACCCCTACTCCTCCTCCTCTGTCCGTCCTGGCCGCCGCCACAAGCGGACGACCCCCCCCACCCCCTGCAGGGCTGGAGGCCTCCTGAATCAGCCAGAGACTAGGAAGACGGCCAAGAGGCACCCGCCGAAGGCCCGCCGAGGGCCCGCCGGAGGCATGGGAACAACAGGCACGCCGAAAGGTCGCCGAGGCCCTCGCCGTGGTATCCAGACACCCCTGGTCCTCACCTCCCCTTTTCGGGGGCGGCCAAGAGGGGGGCGTCCAAGAGGGGGGGGCGCAAATCATGGCCGGCGGCACGTGTGCGGCCCCGGGGGGGGGGCCAGGCACGTAATGAAATAAGACATGGTGCCATGCAATCGGAGGAAATATCATGACCCACGCCATCCACCCTGGTCATCATCCCCCCCTTGGCCGCCCCCGACTTTTCGACGCCTGGTGGCTTTCGGATCATAGCTCGGGCCTCGATCCGGGCACACCCCTGGAGAGCTCTCGACGAGGCGCAGCTGCCGGAGAGCATGTCGAGGCGGGAAGGCCTCCGATGACCAGCGAAACTCCCTGCGCCGCCTCTCTTGAGGGACAAAAGGCGGCCCGGGGGTCTGGACTCCTTGGGACCCTGGAGAAACGGCCAGCAGGGGGGGATGAAACCAGATCCGCTCAAAGTCGGTCCCAGGACCACTCCCGAGGTCAGTGTTCCGCCCCCGATCCGTTTCTGCCGGTCCTGGGGCCCGAACGACCCCCCAGGAGGCCGAAAAAGGCAAAAGAGCCTTCCGGAACCCAGCACCTCCAGCCTGTCAGCCCTTCCTGCTGGCCAGGGCCAGTACTGAGCCACCTCAGACCCACCCCTGGACGGCTCCAAGGCGGAACCCAGACATGCGATGTCCTGATTCTTTCAATACGGGATCCCAGGAAGTCCCGCCCTTTCCCCAGGACTGGCTTTTCCTCATAATCGTTCTTGTTGACGGTCCCGGGGGCCCCGGCGAGGGCCCGCGGAGGCCGAAGACGGCCTAAAACGTGCCGCCCTGGATCTCTGCACGACGCGAGCACGTCTGGGAATGGTGTCATGACCCAAGGGTCAGGTCGGGCATGTCCTCCTACAGGCGGATTTTGGAGAGAGAAAAAAAACAACAATCATTCAAACAGAGTCAACACTAGATGAAAAATCGTCCCCCGACTATTTTGGGGGAATTTTTGAATTTCCTCCTGTGGAGGGCAATGCCCTACTTAGGCCAAGTGCTTGGGGCGGCGGCGGGGCCTCGCAGGCGTCGTACGTCGCGGGCGCCGCCGGCCCGCAGCAGGCCTGGCGCCCCCCGCCCCGTCCGCGGGGAGGCACGGCCAACGGACACGGCAACCCCCTGCCCGCCCCCAGCTGTTCCTCCCTCCTCCTCCTCCTCCTCCGCCTCCTCCTCCGCCTCCTCCTCCTCCTCCTCCTCCTCCTGCCTCCTCCTCCTCCTCCTCTCCCGCCTCCGCCTCCTCCTCTCCTCCTCCTCCTCCTCCCCTCCTCCCTCCTCCTCATCCGCCCACCTCCTCCTCCTCCGCCTCCTCCTCCTCCGCCTCCTCCTCCTCCTCCTACTACTACTCTCTGCAGTGCGGCGTCGTGGCCTTGCACGCGCCGGCCCGCAAAGGCTGAAAGGCCAGGCCATCAGAGGCTCGTCTCGCCTGCCGTCTGGGTCAGGGGCTGCGGCCCGTGAGCTGGAGGGGCCCTGGGATCTTGGCGTCTCAATTTTTGTTTCAGGCCGGGCGGTTTCGGCCCAGGTCGGGCCCCGGGGCCCTCGCAGATCGATCGACCCCGACAGATGACGCTGAACGACGGGGTCTGGGGGGCTCTGGGCGTGATTGCTCACCATGTTGCAATTTTTTCGCGCCGTCGGATCTCAAGGGACTTTGAACACGATGGGGCTGCCTGCGAAGAAATCGCCGTGCAGCGACACTGTTTGAAAACGGCCCTCCGGCAACTTTCGGAGCTCCTCGTGTGTTGCTCGGATCTGCGCTGGGGCCCCCTCCCTGGCGCGCGGGGAGCGCCATGGGCGGCGCCAGAGGCGCCGCCAGGGGGGCCCCAGCGCAGATCCAAGCAATCCGCGAGGAGCGCCGAAAGTTGCTAGAGGAGGAGGAGGAGGAGGAGGAGGAGGAGGAAGAGCAGGAGGAGGACCACTGCAAACCCAAGACTCATCAACGATATTGCAATCAACCCTCCCTCCAAGTTCCCTCCTTCGAAGGCCCCTACAAGGATTCATTTTCGACTGCACGGCGACTTCATCGCGGCCAGCCCCATCGTGCTTAAACCACCTGCAGCCTGCGAGCCACAGCCCCTGAGCCAGTCGGCAAGGGAAACATGCCTCTGCTCCCGGCACCCTCCGCGGGCCAGCGCGTGCAAGGCCATGACACTGCACTGCAGAGAGGAGGAGGAGAAGGAGGAGGAGGAAGAGGTCGTGAGGGGTGTGCCGACATGGCCCGAGGCCGCCATGCGCACTTTGCTACTGGCGCCTTCGGTGGAGCTCCTATGGGGCCACGATCCTCGTGAGGGGTGTGCCGAAATGGTCCGAGGCCGCCATGCGCACTTTGCTACTGGCGTCTTCGGTGGAGCTCCTATGGGGCCACGATCCTCGGGAGGGTGATGATGATGATGATGATGATGATGATGATGATGATGATGATGACGATGATGATGACGATGATGCGAGGAGGAGGGAGGGGGCAGCGGGAGGAGGAAGGAACCCGGGGCGCTGTCTCTTCAAAACGAGGACCCAACACCACAGGATAGTTGGGAAAAGTCAGAGCGCCAGATGCATGAGCCGACTGACCCTGTGATGCAGGCGTCGCGGTTTGCTTCACCCTGGGCGTCTGCGCTCCGTTTCGGGCCCCCGGGCCGTGGCAGGTCGATCAGGCTCGAGAGATGCCCCAGAAAGATAGGGTCTAGAGCTTTTCTTTTTGTTGACCCTCCCCGCACCAGCCACAAGTCACCGCAGACGAAGGTGCCCGCAAAAAATGCTGCCAACATAATGCACCGCCAACGACATGCACTGTCAACAAGACCCGACGTCGCCAACGGAGCTGCAGCGTGGCGAGACTGGAGCCTCAAGACTGGGCCTGGAGCTCTGCCCGCGGTCTCTCGCGATGCCGCAGCTTGGCTCCCGCCTTCGGATCTCGCGGGGGAGGCCCCCCCTTCCCCTGGTGGAGGCCGCCGCCCTCCATCCTGCCCCGCGAGCCGCGGCCAGGGCCACCCGAAGGCCGGCGGACGCGCCCAGCTGCGGCGGCGGGATCCTCCAGAAGCGCGCTGAGACCTCCGAGACAACAACGTCGGCTGCTGCGATTGGGCGTCGCTTGACGATGAGAGGGCGATAAAGGGGAGGGGGGGGAGAGAAAAAGGTGCATTCTTCGGGCCCTGAAAGCCCCCCCTGGGGCCCCGAAGGGCCCCGTCAGGGGCCCTCGAGGGCCCCTTTTGTGCAACCCTCGCTGCCACCCCCCTTTTTGTTATCGCCCCCCCCCCCATTACGCGACGCCCAATGCGGTCTCACGCCCTCCCCCCTCCCCTCCGCGAATGCGGACTGCTGCTGGCCAGCCTGCGCCTTGAGCACGTTGCGGGCCACCTGCGCAGCGATGGCGGAGGGGGCATGTCCACTCGTGGGAGGGAGAGAGGAAGGTCAGAGGAGGGAGAAGGCGTGAGGCGGAGAAGGGAGAGGCAGGGAGGAGGGAGATAGGGGGCAAGGGGTCGGAGGAGGAAAAGGCGAAGGAAGAAAAAGGAGGAGGAGGAAGAGGAGGAGGAGGAGGAGGAGGAGGAGGAGGAGGAGGAGGAGGAGGGGCAGCAGAAAGGAGGACAAACTGGGAGGGCAAGGAGATCGGGGAGGGGCAAAGGGAGTTTCTCTCACCCGTGGAAGGACAGTGTCCGGCCACCGCGTGGAAGGAGACTGACACAGCAGGAGGAGAGGAGGAGGCGAGGGGTGGGGAAGGAGAGAAGGAGGAGGCGATGGGAAGGAGAACGGAAGGGGGAGGACAAGGATGAGGGCGAGGACGAGAAGGAAGACGAAGAAGAGCAGAAGGGGCAAGCAAGAGGAGAGGTGGAGGAGGAAGAGAGGGAAGAGGAGGAGGAGGAGGAAGAAGAGGAGGAGGAGAAGAGGAGGAGGAGGAGAAGAGGAGGAAAGAGAGGGGACGAGGAAGAACAGGGGGAGAAGAGGGAGGCGGATGAGAAGCTTCAGCAGCAGGTTGGTGGAGGAGGAGAAGGAGGAGGAGAAGGAGGAGGAGGAGGAGGAGAGAGGAGGAGGAAGAGGAGGGGAGGAAAAAGGGGGGCAGGCAGGGAGTCAGGAGAAAAAGAAGGAGGAGGAGGAGGACTACGACGACCTCAAGGTGGGGATGTTCACCGAAGCTTTACCGAGCTTTGCACAACCAGGTCTGCGAAAAAAAGAAGAAGGGATGAGATGTTGATGGTGACGGTGGCGCTGATGGTAACGGTGAGGGTGATGGTGGTGGAATTGAAGAGGGCCGTGACGATGACGTGATTATACTGTATGCGTACACTCGAGGTTTACGTGATCGGGCGACGGCGTTGATGAAGTGAGCGATGTCCACCATCAAAATAGTCATCAGCAGCATCATAATCAGCAGCATCATCATTATTGTTATCATCATCAGCAGCATCGCCATCATGATCATCAGCATACTCATCGTAACCATCATCATCAGCATCATCATCATCAGCATCAGCATCGTCATCATCATCGTCATCATCATCAACTGCATCAGCATAAACATCAGTAGCAGCATCATCATCATCAGCATCATCAGCATCATCATCGTCGTTTTCTTCCTCATCAGTATCGCCATCATCATCAGCAGCAGCATCATCACCAGCAGCATCATCGCCATCGTCGCCACCAACAACACCACCATCATCACCATCACAATGACCATCACCATCACCATCATCACCATCATCACCATCATCATCACCATCACCATCATCACCATCATCATCCTAATCATCATCAGCAGCAGCAGCATCATCAGGATTATCATTAGCGTCATCAGAATCATCATCAGCATCATCATCATCAGCATCAGCATAAGCATCATCATCATGGTCGCTGTCATGATCGTCACCGAGTCCACGGAAATTGGCATCTCTTTTATTCACCCTGGCCTTCCGCGGAAGAAGAGATACCAATTCCCTCGACCCCTGGCGGGCGAGGCCCTCTCTGAAGCGCCCCGCGTGTGCTCAGCGGACTGCGGCCGGCGCCCGCTGAAGCGCGCGGTCAGCAACGGCTGGCGCGCCAGGCATAGGTCGGGTATGTCCTCCTACAGGCGGATTTTGGACGAGAAATAAAAAAAAGGGCAAAGGTAGTCAGAAAATAACAGAAAGATCGTCCCCCGACTATTTGTGGACTATTCTGGAATCTCCCTCCTGTAGAGAGGGACATGCCCGACTCAACGCCAGGCGTGAAGGGCAATGCTGCCGCTCGCGCCGCGTCCTGCACCAGAGGTGGTCGGGCTGCTGCGCTAAGGAACGCCGAATAAGAAACGAAGCCCCTGTCTGGCTCCAAAAGCGCCTGCGCGGCCGAGGAGCGCTCGCTAGAGAAGCAGCCGTGGAAGGACCTCAGGAACGTCGAGCCCACTCCCAAGCCAGACTGTTCCTCATCTCGGCGTCTTGGCTGCACGATCGATGTGCGTCCAGCGCACGGCGGCCAGCGTCCCCGCAAAGCCCGCGGTCGGCAACGGCTGGCGCGCGAAGGCCCCAGGCGCCATCGCGGGCACGGTGGCGGGATGGTGCGAAGGCCAATAGAATATTGCTTCTGCTATGCTGCTCACCGCCGTCCTGGTTGTCAACATCATTACCACCAACACCATCATTACTGCCGACACCAAAGTATCAATGCAGCTCCAACTCCGCCTGTACAGCTGCGAAGAGGTCCTCCACGAGCACCTCCAGAAGCCAGGCCTCGGCAGCCGCATCGTGCACAAGCTCGGTGTTGCAGGCCCCAGCTACGGACGGAGGACGGATCGCTCGGCGCAGCAGTGGCCGCGGCGACTTCCGAGCCAAGCGACAGTTGGACACCCTCTGCCTCCGCGTACACAGCGCCATGACCATCACCATGATCCGCGGCACCATCATCACTACCGTCATCACCAGCGTCATCGTCTCAATCACAATCGCCCTTATCACCATAGCAGCACCCACCATCACCAACACCATCACCATACCCACCATCTTCACCATCATACTCATACTCATCCTCATCAGCATCAGAAATAATAAGAAGACGAATGAGAAGAAGAAGAAAAATAATGATAATGAGCATCATCATCATCATTATCATCATCAACATCATCATTAGCATCACCATCATCATCATCGCAATCGCAATCGTCATCGTCTTGATCGATATCATCGACAATATACTCATCATCTTCACAGTGGCCATCGTCACTTGGCGTCGTCAACACTCATCACCACCCTCATAAGCATCATCAAAACTCATCTCCATCATCGCCGACATCGTCGTCATGATCGCCATGAACACCACGCACCGTCATCATTGACGTCCTCAACACCGCGCGCAAGCACAGTCATCATTGTCCTCGCCACGATCACCATCCTCACCCCCATAACCCTAACCAGCATGACTCATGTTCGTCATTAATCAGTGTCGTCATCAATATCGCCTGCGCAGCACCAATCGCCAACAACGCATCATCATGATCGCCATCATCCCAATCATTAGTTTCAGCATCGTCACCTTCACCTTAACCATCGACGTCGTCATCGTTCCAATCATCACCAGCAGCCACATCACCATCACCATCGTAACTTGCATCATCAGCACCAGCGTCATAAGCATCAAAATCATCGTCCGCATCACTAATCATAATCGTCATCACTAGCAACAGCATCATCCTACTGCATTGCCGTTATCATCAATTGAATCATCATCATCATTATCATCATCCTGGTTGCTAAGATTACACATCCTCATCACAGACGTATTCATTGATACGTCATAATCGCCACCATCATCCTCACCATCAACCAGCATCGTGATTAATCAGCGTCGTCATAAATATCGGCGAAGTCAGCACGACAGTCTTCATAACCATGATCCCATCATCAGAATCGTCACCTTCATCACCATCATCACCACCACTATCGTGCTCGTCATCATTGTCACCATCATCGTAATTGTCGCTGACATCGTCGTAAGCGTCATCAAGACCACTCATCCCCATCGTCGTCCTCAACATAACCCGTCGTCGGCATCATAATCGTCGTCCCCGACACCATCATCATCACCACCATCACCCTTATCACCACTCATCATGATCATCATTGCCACCATCCTTCAGCATCGTCGTCGTTGCCATCACCGACATTACTATATTGCCGGCATCACCAGTCACCCCCGTCATCATCGTCACCTTCATCACCACAATCATCACAACAGTCGTGGGCGCCACCGGTGCCGTGACGCCCGAGCCCGCCGCCATCACCATCACCGTCGCCGTCGCGTCCGTGTCGCCAGCACCAGCATCAGCATCAACATCCTCGAGATCAGCAGCAGCAGCAGCAGCAGCAGGAGGAGGAGGAGGAGGAGGAGGAGCAGGAGGAGGAGGAGGAGGAGGATCAGCAGCAGCACCACCACCACCATCGCGAGAGCTTCCCCCCCGCCCCACGCCCCGCGGCCGCCGCAAGGGCGCCTCCTTCCACGCCTGCGCCTCGCTGGCCGCCGCGTGCAGCAGCGCCTCGCGCGGCCGCGCGCGGCCGAACGCCTTCGAGGGAGGCCGCTGGCGGCCTCCCTCGAGGGCGTTCGGAAGTGCTCGCTGGCGGCGCCACCATTGCGAGAGCGGCACCCTCGGTGGCAACTCCCGGGAGCCTCCCATACCATCCTGTTGCATCCTGCGAATCGACGCTGATCAAAGCTGATCGACGCTGATCGGCGCGAAGCGACGCTTCATCGGCGCGAAGCGACGAGAACCGACGCCAATCGACGCTGCATCGATCGACTGCCAGACGCTGGCCGACACTGGTGCATTCTAAAGACTGAGCTACACTGAGTTACGAGGGTGTTGAAGGCTCCGATGATTTGCTACTGGAGGTACCCGTGCACAAAGCCGTTTCTGGACTCCCTTCAGGCCCCGCTCCAGCGCGGTACGGTGCACAATAGTTCGGCGTTCGGCGCTAAAGGGGCCGGGATACGACGCACCATACCCTTCTCCTGGGCCGAGGATCGGCGACGCCTCGGGAGGCGCCAACGCGGCACGGTGCACATAAAGTCGTCCGAGGAAGCATCGCCACCACTGACGAACGAGCAACACACACCCATACCCATAGGGGGGTCGTTGGGAGGAGGAATGGCTATGGGTATGGGTGCGGGTTGTCGGACCCTGGGGAACGCTCCCGTTCGAGCGGGGACCCCCATCCGACAACACGCACCCATAGCCCTCTCCGACCCCTCTATGGGTATGGGTGTGTGTTGTTGGTTCGTCAACCACCGCTCACATCATTGAGGCCTCCCAAGTGGGGATGGAGCCGATGGGGCACGAGCGGCGGGTATCGAATCCAGACATCGGGTCAGGTCGGAGCGTGCGCTGGATCGGGACGCGGCGGCCAGGCGTCGGAACCGAGGCAAGTCGACGGCGTCAGGATACACAACAGCGCCATGCAAGCGTCGGGTCGCATCGGATCGTCGGAATATCGAAATCGAGTCGGATCAGGCAGGCCAAAATCGACATCGAATCGGATCGATTGGATCGAAATGGAAGCTGATGGGATCGGAGGACGTCGGGATGAAGGAAAGTAGGCTCCGCTCAGAGTCTGAAGAAGAATCCTCCTTCGCCTCCCCCGTATCCGACTCCCCGTTTTCCTTGTAGGGTGTCTATCCTCTGGTGCTGGAGCCACGTTTGGCGAACGCGCTGCCTCGGAATAAAGACCGACAGGATAAGATGCCCCTTCCAAGACGGGGGTCGCTGTTTTCACACTGTTCGCGCGCGCTGGCACAAGCAAGTGAGAACCTCCGAAGCTGGGGAAACGGTGGGAAACTCCGCTATCGCATCACTCGAGTCGAAGCTGATGATCCGCACAGGATTATGGTTGGCCGAGTTTTCAAGCATATCGAAGTGGGTATCGGTGAAGGCCACTGTCCTTTTGAATCCGTTTGTCAAGACTCCTGAAGATTAAAGCACGATCGAAGTCATACACTGTGGCTCGAAGCCTTCGAACATCTAAGAAGCAGCGAACTCTCTTCCTCACGCAGCTCCTGGGATGACGTCAGGGCGCTGTGGACACGCAGAGCGCACCCGTCTGGCGAAACATCCAGAGCGGTATTCATCCCCATCCGCCCCCTCTGCTCTAGGAAAAAAAAAAAAAAAAAAATGGAATTGGCTCAGGATACGTTCCAGGATCTCTAGGGTGCCCAGAAGCCCTCGGTCCTGGAGCCCGTTTGAAAACCTGGGAGCCTGGAAAATCCTGGAAACCTCGGAAATAGTGAAACGCATCGCTATCGTGACCTTCTGCTCCTCGGATTCCCTGGCGAAGCCAGCGCGCACACCTGCAACGTCGGCGGCGTGGCGCGAACCAACCGCGCTGTGATGTCCACAGCCTCAACACGTTGAGTTCAAAAGGACCTCCTGAAAAGGCAGCAATCTCCGACCCGTCCTCCATGATCCGGGCAAGTGCTCCCGACTTCGCGCTCCGCGCTGCGCGAAGCGCGACGTGCGAAGAACTTCGCGCTCTCACGCCGCCCCCCAGGGGGGAAGAGGAAGACGAGGAGAAATCGGAGCCGAACCGCGAAGCGCGAAGCGCGAGTAACTTCGCGCCCTCGAGGGCGCCCTTGGGCCATGTCCCCCTGGAGGCGGATTTGGGCCGAAACACAAAAAAACGCATAAGACAAAGCCCCCAAAAAGCTCAAAGATAGCCAGAAATGATCGACGCAAAAAATCGTCCCCAGGCCCTTGGATCCGATGGGATCCAGGGATCCGTGCGCCTCGGAAGAAGCCAGTGCAGGCCTGCGCCCGAACGAAGCCCGGCGCACGCCGCCCCGAGGGCCCGCCGAGCGCCGGCACGCCTCGCCCCGTGCGAGGTGCCGGCCGGAACGCCGAACGACGAGACGAGCTCGGGGCACCAGGGGACGACGACCACAACTCGGCGGCGCGCAAAGGGAGCGAGGGAGGAGGAGGAGGAGGAGGAGGAGGAGGAGGAGGAGGAGGAGGAGGAGGAGGAGGAGGAGGAGGAGGAGGAGGAGGAGGAGGAGGGGGGAGGAGGGGGCACGCGCGGGGACGCTCGTGGACACCAGGAGGATAGCGCACGCTATGCACTGGCACCTGACCACTCGGGGCACTGGCCGAGCCTGACAGCGATCCGTGCCCCCCGGGCCCAGCCACGAAGGCATGGGGGCACCAATCCGAGGCCCAGCCCAGCCTGGGCAGGACGGGTGCTGGCGCGGAGCTCCTCCTCCCAAGCAAGACGCATACTCTGGGTTTCTTGACAAGCGTGGGGGGGTTATCCCCCCCGACGAGGGTCGACCTCGCCTCGTCGTCGCACCGCGACGGGGGTCGGAGCGCCTTCGGCGCGCGGTAGCTGCCCGCGACATGGGTCGATGTGGGGCTGTCGGCGGGGGTGACGTCCCCCGACGCATATTGAGAAACTCGGGGTAACCTGTCTGCTTGTTCCGAGCGACCCACCAAGAGTGTGAACTCTTGGGAAAATGACAAGACGGATCCCAGCTGCAGGCAAAAGGCGTGCGGAGACTGAGCAGAACCTGACCTCGTCCGAACAACGCGAGGTCGTCCCACGCGTCAGAGATACAATGACAAAGTATCCACCAAGTCAGGCCAAGCCCTGGCCTCATTTCCTGGAAAAGCGCGCGGGGTGCGGTGTGAATGCTGCCTCCCCCGCCCACCCCTCGCGCCTGCAGGCTGAGGCGTTCCTCCTCCTCCTTCCGCTGCCTTTCCTCGCGCTCGATGGCTTCCTCGACTGCGCGGTGCACCTGGCGTTAAGAGAAGCGCCCGCGAGGTACAAATCAACGCAGAGCAATATCACAATGAATGAGACGAGGCGCAGGGCTCACAGCTTGCACAAGAAGAGCACAACCGATTCGTTGGAGAGAGAGAGAGAGAGAGAGACATGGTAAAAGACCCACATGAGCAGGATTTAATGGAAGAGAGGGGATAGTGAGGGAAAAATGAGGGAGGAGGGAAGAGAGAGAGAGAGAGAGTAAACGAGAGAAACAAAAACAACATACGTACACAGCACCTTCTCCACGCGAGGCGGGTATTTGTATGAACGCTCCATACACAAGAGCACATCGCCAAACATGCACGATCACGGCTGTCCTTATCTCCACGGTGCCTCCTAGGAGTCCACGAGCATGGCGACAGTTGCGCAATTCGCAGCCATAGAGGAAGCTGCGAGGTCTCGGCTGGATGCGCGTAATCCCCTACTCCGCCGTGCCTCCCAGGAGCCCACGAAAGTGGTGACAGGTCGGCAATTCGCAGCATCCCAAGGAGCAGCGAGGCCTCGCCTGGGTGCCCGTGGCCCCCGACCCCGCTGGACCTCACGGGAGCCCACAAAAGTGGCAACAGCTCCGCAAGTCGCAGTCCCCCAGGGAGCTGCGATGTCCCGGCTGGGTCCGCGTACCCTCCTGCTCCGCCGTGCCTCCCCACAGCCCACGAAAACGGTGACAAGTGCGCAGTTCGCAGCCACCCAGGGAGCCGCGAGGTCCCGGCTGAACGCGCGTACCCCTCTACTCCGCCGTGCCTGCCAGAAACCTGCGAGAAAGGCGACAGTTGCGCAGGTCGCGGCCACCCAGGGAGCCGCGAGGTCTTGGCTGGATGCGCATGCTCCCCTACTCCGCCGTGCCTCCCAGGAACCCACGAAAGTGGCGACAGTTTGCGCAGGTCGAAATCCACCCAAGAAGCTGCGAGGTGGTCTCAAATGGGTGCGCGTACTCCGCTACTCCCCCGTGCCTCCCCACAGCCCACGAAAGTGGCGACGTTTGCGCAATTCGCAGCCACCCAGGGAGCTGCGAGGTCTCGGCTGGATGTGCGTGCTCCCCTACTCCACCGTGCCTCCCAGGAGCCCACCGAAGTGGCGACAGTGGCGCAGCTCGCAACCACCGAGGGAGCCGCGAGGTCTCGACTGGATGCGCCTACTCCCCATACTCTGCCATGTCTCTCCCAGGAGCCCACGAAAGTACCGACGTTTGCGCAATTCGAAGCCACCCATTGAGCCGCAAGGTCTCGGCTGGATGCGCCCACTCCCCTACTCCGCCGTGCCTCCCAAGAGCCCATGAAAGTGGCGACAGGTCCGCAGTTCGCAGCCATCTAGGGAGCAGCGAGGTCTTGACTGGATGCGCGTACTCCCCTACTCCGCCGTGCCTCCCAGGAGCCCACCGAAATGGCGACAGTTGCGCAGTTCGCAGCCACCCAGGGAGCAGCGCAGGAAAAGCCAGGAGAACGGAGGAGAGGGGCGAGAGGAGGTGTGCAACCGCAATGCAACGATAACCCAACACGAGAGGCTTGGGAAAAAACAGACAGGGATATAGAGAGAGAGAGAACGAGACAGATATATATATATATATATACAGATATAGAGAGAGAGGGAGAGAGAGAGAGAGGCAGAGAGACGCAATAGAGACACTGAAAGCAAAGCAAGATATGTAGATATATGCAGGAGAGAAGGACAGAGACAGGAAGAAAGAAAAGGAGAGAGAGAGAGAGAGAGAGGCACTGAGGGGAAGGAAGAGAGATAGATGAAACAAAAACAAAAAACTGATTAAAGACAGAAATGATGCTACAAAAATATTACACCAACGATATCGGGAGCGGCCAAGAGGGGGGTGTCCAAGAGGGGGGGGTGCAAATCATGACCAGCGGGGGGGCCAGGGACGTAATGAAACAAGAAGAGGCGCCATGAAACCTGGGGAAATATCATAGCCCACGCCATGATATCCCCCCCCTAGTCATCACCCCCCTCTTTTCCGCCCCCGAAGATAAAGGGACTGGGAGAAAGGAAAAGGCACCGAGATGCGAAAAAACGGTTGCTGCACCCCCCGCTGGGGCGCCCAGCGGCTCAGGGCGGTCTGCCCAGGATCCTCCCTCGAGCCCGGACCAGCCGCAGGGACGTCCCAGCCTCGATGGCCCTCACTGTCCCAGGGGCCTACCTACAGGGCAGTTTTTTTTAATACATTTTGTTTTGTAAATGATCTTTCATACATGACTAACTTATGAATACATGTGTACATGAACTCATCGTTGTTTTTAACATTAATCCCTGCATGCTTCATACATGATCCGCACGCAGAGCATGTATTAAAAGCTGCCTTGTACTTCTTAGTCTATTGGGTTATGTTGATCTCATCGTACTTGAGCACCACATCCCAGCAATAACTCCGAGCACCCAGAGAGTGCCGAAACAGCGTCGAAGGAGTGTCGCCTCCCAGGGGCCGACACGTGAAAACCCTGCAATTTCGGTACTTCCGTGGTGCTTGAAATTCGTTCTGGTGGTCAAGGCTAATGTAGGTTGGAACATACTAACTCTCGGGATGGGGACGCCGACTTGAACGAGGCACTGCAACGTAAATATGTCGTTCGGCGTGCAGCCAAGGCCCCGCAAAAGCGAGCAGAGCCCTGCCGCGCTTCCTTCTTGTTCAGGTGCCTCTGGGACGGCCCACGAGGCCCCCAGTGGCCCGAGACGCCCCCGAAAGGCCACAAAGAAGTTCACGGGGACACCCCAGCGCTCCCAAGACAGGAAACCTCGAGAGGCCTCAAATAATGATGTTAGTCGTGCCGCATCTCTCTCGCTCTTTCTCTCTCACTCTCTCTCTCTCTCTCTCTCTCGCTTTCTCTCTCTCTCTCTCTCTCTCTTTCTCGTTCTCACTATCTCTCTCTCTCTCTTTCCTTCTCTTTCCCTCTCTTGCTAGTCCCGTTTCCCTTCGTATTGCTCCTCCTTCCTCCGTTCGACCAGACAAACTCCACCATGCCTTACCACCGACGAGGGGGATCAAACCAAATGAAACCGCACCAAATCAAAACACCACACAGGGGCCGATCATGCGAAATTAGAAAGCACGAGGGGGCGAGCGCAAAAAGCCCAACACGAGTGCAACACTGCATGCCCACTCGCTGGATCAAGGAACGATCAAAATCGACACCATGCCAGGCGAAAAACAAGCACGCGATAGCAATCCCATCCTCTGGATCTCTGTGTATAAACGGAATGGCGCCTGCATGAAGGTGAACCGCCCGTGGTACAGTCCGTCAAGTTTCTCCTGCCCATTGTCCAAGTCCGAAGAACAACTGGCGAGAGCGCGCCCACAAGTTACCCCATCTGCTCCCCGACATCTTCACACAATTATCATGCCTCCCCTGGAATTCCCCCAAGGCCCTTGTTTGAACTCTACACACAATCGCAAGAGGTGCTTACGACAGGGGTGCACTATGGAGCCAAGAAAAGGCCACAAGCGACGAAGGCCACCGCGCCGCACGTGCCGTAAGAGTCACGAAAAGGGACAGCGACGGGGCCTCAACCTCCATCCACGGCGCGGCGAGCACCGTCCAGGGCCAGAACGCGGGCCACGAGAAAACTCACGGGCCACGGGGACGTGACCTTCACTGTGGGGCCGCCCAACGGCCACCAGAAGGCCACGGGGCCCACAACCATACCTTTCCTATACATCAGCGGCGAAGCAGAAGTGCTGCTCCAACGGGCGGTGATCCGGACCGACCGATACGCGAATTGGCCGGCATGCAGGAGGAAGACCCACGGCCATACACTCGGGAAGGTCAGACAAATCATGGGGCAACGGCCCGGCAATCCCCTAGGCAAGCAAACGAGCGGGCCATGAGAGGCCCACGGGCCGAAGCCGCCAATTCGCGGCACCCATGATGGTGGCATACGACGGGCCCCCCCTGGACGGGCCACACGATTCGGCATCCTTACAAAATCACTGCCAACTGCTGATAAAATGGGAACGTGGGAAGCACAAGACTACAACCGTGAATCGAAAACTGGCCAGCAAATCTGCATCCTCATCCTCATCCGCGGTTTAACGAGTTTGGCTTATCTCTGCCCAAAACCCCTCCTTCCCCTGCTCGGGGGAGGGGTTAATCACTGCTCCCTATTAAAATACACCCCCTCCCCCAGGCGACCGGCAGCCAACCAGGAACAATGAGGACACAATGAGGGCAACCCCCCACCACCAACCCTTTTAAAAACCATACAAAATGCACTCTGTCTCCACATTTGGAGCATGCGCAGCTTGCGCGGCAAACCCGATACGCCCCCCCACTCCATCCCTTTCAAACAGCCATATAACATACACTTTCGGGACGAAGTCTTGAGTCATGTTCGTGAGGCCAACGAGCACTTTGCATTGTTCTTGGCATGCACGGCGGGGGTGTCAGCAGATTGCCTGCTGCACGCAGGGCTACCATCCCTGGTGCAAAACAAAACATAGTACACCTCGCGGTGAAATCTGGATTATGCGCGGCCACCCCGCGATCACTGTCAAATGGTCTTTGACAGGGACGGCGGGGGTGTTGATGTATGGCATGTTGTGCGCAGGCACACCAGACACATTGATGGGCATCGGCTTTCGACAAGGATGGTGGGGGCCGACATGTTTCCGATGTCAGCTGTCACGTGCGCAAGCGCACCTGACATGCTCTGCACGTGCCCCGAACGTGGCGCAGGTGGCGCGGCTGGAGTATGCAGCACACCTGGCGCACGCGAAGCACCTGGCGCATGTGGCGCACCAGGCGTGCCTGGCACGCTCAGGCCCCAGGAGGGGCCTGGCACGCATGTCGCGCCTGGCACGCGTGGCGCACCTCGCCCCAGCGTCGCGCACATAGGGGTCGGTTTTGATTTCCAATAGCTGTACATCCGAAGACGACAGCTGAACATGCTCAGGCTCGGGTGTTACTTATGCGTTGGGAGGGCGGGTGGGAGTGAGCTAGACGGCTTGCTATCTAGGGGGTGTCTTGATCACTGTTCCTTAATAATATACACCCCGTCACCCAGGCGACTGGGGGCCAACCCGACACCTTGCCGACATCATGCCGACACATGCCGACCCGCCCCCCAGCATCCCTGTCAAAAGAACCATACAGAACGCACTCTACCTCCACACTTGGAGCATGCGCGGCCACCTCGATAGGCCCCCTCTCCACCGCCATCCCTGTCAAAAACAATACAAAATACACTTCGGGGCGAAATCTTGAGTCGTGTTCGATAGGTCAACGAGCACTTTGCACTGTGTTTGACAAGGGCGGCAGGGGTGTCAGCAAATTCCCGGCTGTGCGCAGGGCTACCATCCCTGAGAAAAAAACAATACAACATGCACCTCGCGGCTAAATCTGGATCATGCGCTGCTATCCTGCGATCACTGTCAAATGGTCTTTGACAGGGACGGCGGGGGTGGTGGCGCGTGGCCTGCTGTGCGCAAGCAAACCAGACACATTGATGGGCATCGGCTTTCGACAAAGAGGGCGGGGGTCGACATGTTTCCTGATGTAAGTTGTCACGTGCGCAAGAGCACCTGTCGCACTCTGCACGTGCCCCGAACGCGGCGCACGTGGCGCGGCTGGAGTGTGCGGCACACCTGGCGCACTCGGAGCACGTGGCGCATCTGGCGCACCAGGCGTGCCTGGCACGCTCGGGCCCCAGGAGTGCTGAGCGCGCGAGGCGCCCCTGGCACGCGTGGCTCACCTCGCCCAAGCGTCGCGAACCTGGGGTCGGCTTTGGTTCCCAGTAGCTGTCCATCCAAAGACGACCGCTGGACATGTTCAAATCACCTGAAAACGGAGCCCGAGAGGTGATCTGAAAAAGCAGCTGGAAAACTGAGCCAAACCTGGATCCAAAATGCAAGCGCTGCAATGCATCAGGGCCTAGACCTCAATCTGGAATCTAAAACACATACTTTGGGACGCATCAGAGCCTGCGAATGTCAAATCCAAGATCAAAATGCAATTGCTGCGATGCTCCGCCGAAAACTGGAATCTAGAACGCAAGCACTGCGATGCGTCAGCACCTGCTAAGGTCCAATCTGGAATCCGGAATGCAGAAGCTGCGATACCCATGCGGAAATCTGAATCCGGAATACAAGCGCCGCGACGCATCAAAACATGAAAAAGAAAGCGGGGATGGACATAATCCCTTTTAGCACAACGTGGCTTAGTGAAAACGACCTCGGCCCAAACTTGGCGGGCGCAAGCCTGGAAAATGACGGCTGCGGCGCCCTCTCGAGAACCGAAAACGGACAATTCACTAATCGACGTGTCAGGGTGGGGTATCTGTCCAACCCCGAAAAAACAATTTCAGAAGCCAGAATGCCGCGCTGCGATGGCCCTCCCGAATCCGCAATCTGGAATGCAGGCGCTGCGATGCAGTCTGGAATCTGGAAGGCATGCGCTGCGATGCCCCCGCGAAATCCGGAATCCGGAAGGCAGGCTCTGCGATGCATCAGAGCCTGGAAGGATCCAATAAAGAATCAAAATGCAATTACTGCGCCGCCCCTCTGGAAACCGGAATCCGGAATCCAGAACTCGAGCTCTGCGAAGCATCAGGGCCTCCACTAATCCGATATGGAGTCTGGCAGGCGCTGCGTTGCGCGATGCATCAGAACTTGCAAAGGTATCCACAATGCAATCACTGCGATACCCCTCTGGGAACCAAGATCCAAAATGCAGGCGCTACAATGATGCGTCAGAGCTTGAAAAATCAACTCTGGAATCTGGAACGCAAATGGTGGAAACCAGAATAGGATTGCAGGCGCTACGATACATCAAAACCCGCAGAAAATCCAACATTTGGAATCAAAATATTAGCGCTGCGACGCGGAAAAACCAGCAATGCCTCCAAATGCAGAATGCGGAATCCCGAACGCATGCAAGCGCTGCAATCCCTCGAAGCCTGCAGAGGTCCAGCAAAAATCTGGAGACCTGAGCCTGGAAAGCAAGCAGTGCGACGCATCAGAGCCTGATTAGTAGAGGTACTCCAGAATCTGGAGTCCAGAATGTGAAACAAGGCGCTGCGGTGCATAGGTGCCACTCCCTCTGGATGAATGAAGTAGTGAAGCCCAGGGCATCCCTCTCCTGCTCATAATCCAAGCGATCATCATTTGTCCCCCAGACTTCTGCAACTCCACCCCCACATAATCCTTCTCCTCCCCACTTTCCTCGTCTTCATCCTCATGTCCCCCTATCGTTACACTACTCCTCCTCTCATAATCATTGTCCACATCTTCCTCATTATGAGCATGAGCACACTCCTGACGATTGCCATCGTCATCATCGTGGTCATCATCATGATCATCATCATCATCATCATCATCATCACCATCATCATCAGCAGTAACAGCAGCATCATCAGAATCATCCTCCTAATCATCATCATCATCATCACCATCAGCATCATCATCATCATCATCACCATCAGCATCATCAGCATCACAATCATCACCGTCGCCATCATCATAATCATCATCAGCAGCATCATCATCGTCATCGTCATTGTCATCATCATCACCACCATCATCATCACCATCACCACCATTATCAATTTCTTAATCCTCTTCAGCGCCGCCCAGTATCGTCATCACGACTGCCTGGATAAGCAACATCATCAACCTCATCATCATCATCCTACTCATCGACTTTGTCATCACCATCCCAGTATCTTCCAACGCAGCCTCGTCACCCTGATCATCATGGCCATCATCACGGCGGACCCGGAAAATTGTAACTACCGGGACCTTTCCAACAGTTCGGCAAGCCCCTGACGGGCGCGTCGGCCCGACGGAACCCACCGTTCGGGTCGAGCGGACGGACCGTAATGGGCGTGGCAGACCACAACAGTAAAGACAGCAAAACAAGGGTCAGCGACCTGGAGTTTGCCAGACGCTCCCAGCGCTGGACCACAGGACAGAAGATCGGAGAACCAGCAACGTGGAAGACCGGAAATCCAAAAGACCAGGAACTGGACGACCAGAGAACGAGAGAACCAGAAAGCAGCTCTTTCCTTGGACTATAATCCCCGATCGAACCTGAAAACGCCTTTTCGTTTACCAAACTACACAAGACTCACGAGCGTGCCTGAAATTGATAAGCAATTTGCCACTATTAGTCGCAAAACGCCTTGGAAATTATTATTGCTGGCGAAACGTTTTGCATTTTAGCGGACCTCTGCAGCGCCGTTCACATCACAAACTCACATCTGAATAAAAATTTACATCCATCGTGAAAATAACTGGGAGCCGGCGGTAAAACGTCA